CTCACCTTTGTTTCAATAAGACCAAACAAGCCCATAGTATGATGCTTAAGGAACCACAAAACATCATAACTTTTACTGGACTTATTTAGCCCTCTTACATTCCAGAAGCCACACTTATCCATTCAAAGAGACAGAACACACTCCCCTCCTACTCTTATACAAAACACTGCTAAAGTCTTCTACCACTTTCAGATTTGATTCCTCTTTTTGAATATCAGAGGTCCTGTCCACCTCCTCCACCCTCACATCCATCCCCAATCTTCCAAACTTGTTCTGCACAAACACACCAAGGTTATTCCCAGGCTCAGTATGTGCTTGCCTCCTTACTGGTTTCCAAGTCTGTTGAGTCATATTCCTCTTTTCCTGTCTTTGATTAGCATGCATCTTCTGTCTAACAAAGTGATTCGGACACACTACTTCATCATGCCCTATCCCATTACACATCTTACATTTCACTGGTTTCCACTCATACTCAACTAGTTGTCTAATAAGAGAACCATCACCTCAACCATCACCCTGGCATACTGAATTAATTCCTTAGTAGAAGTCGCTCTATCAGTCTTAATTGGCTTGCCGATCAGACCAACTATTTTCTTTAACGCTGATTGACTCCCGAACCTGAGATCAAGATCCAAGAACCGAACCCAAATAGGGACATTCGTAAGCATCTCATCATTCAATTTCAATCCTGCCTTCCATGTTTTGACAATTAAAGGTTTCTTATCAAACATGAAAGGACCAGCATTCATAACCTGCTCCCTAGCATCCTTGGTTTTGAAACGAACTAAGAAAATGCCATTAGACTTCATGGAAATCTTATCAATACCATATTTCCCCCAGACTCTACGAATGAATCCACTCATTGCTGATAATAATGGCTTAGCAGATACAATATAGCACACTATAGCAGAATCCCAGTATTCAATCTCTGAATTCACATCCTCCTGAGATAATTGTAATTACCCTTCACCATTACAGGTCCTTTCCGAAGTATGTTGTGTATCATGAAGGTTATCACAATCAAGATTCATCCCCTCATCAATGATATCAACAAATAAATCTTTCCAATTCCCTTTCCTTTTTCCAATCGAATCGCTAGAAATAGAGGAAGAAAAAGAGGGGTTTCTGATTTTCGGGCTTAAAACACCCCCAAAATTCAAATTCCTACCCATATTCATATTATTATCACAAGAATCATTCCTATTATTAATAGAATCAGCAATCATCAAGATAGGGGTAGGTTCAATCAAATTCTCAGAACAGGGCCTACAATTTCCATTAACAGAGTTACCAGGCAAATTAGGAAGGGGGGTTTGATTTAATACCTCCAACCCTTTGCTAAGCTTCACAATCGCTTGGTCCATCTTTGATCAAATTCTCTTCAACTCCATCCAACCAGCTTTCCTTCGAGCTTACCTCATCCTTCATACCCTGCTTCTCTGAATTCATTTTCTTGCATGATTTGAGCTTTGATCTTTGCTTTTTCTTAGCTTTAGACGAGGATTTAGAGGAAGATTTTTAGTTAGATTGCTTTTTTTTTCTTTCCCTCTCTTACGATTAGCCATGGCTCAACCGAAGTCATGACGCAAGAAAATGGCGGAAAGAAAAAACTCTCTTTCTCTCTCTAACTTTCCTCATTCACCCTCTCAAGAGTGTTTATTTACGTATATATTTTATGTGTATGTTCATCGTTTAATATCTTTCATGGTTATTTCAAACTAATATATGCTCATTTATATATTAATAGATGTTCATATCCATATTGAATTACGTAAATATGTTCATTTATGTATTATTAGTTGTTCATTTTCATATTAACAAATGATCATTTCCACACTAATATATATTCATTTATATATTAATATATGTTCATTTATATTCTAATAGATGTTAATTTTCATATCGATCATGTCAATTTTTATACATATCCATGTTTATATTCATATAAAAATTGGTTCATTTTAACATTATTCTTGCTCAAATCTAATACAATTTTTTTAGGAAATTTTCACTTTTACTACCACCAAATTACACGTGTTTCACTTTTTCTACCCCTTTAAATTCTTTTTTATATTACTACCACACTAAAACATCTTTGTTAAAATTTTCTACCACTTAACAAAAATCGTTAGAGTTTCGTTAAGTTTTTTTAAAAAAATAATAATAAATAAATAAATAAAAGAAAAAACCAGCTGCCTCCTCCCTTCCTCCCCGCCTTCTTCTTCTTCCTCCCTTTCCATTATTTGGCTGCTCTCGTCAGCCACCCTCCCCCTGCCGGAGCCGGTGGCTCCAATCCACCTCCCTTTCCTCCACCTACGCATCCCACCCCCCTCCCTTATCCCCTTCTCGCTGCCATAACCCCCACCCCGAAATCGAAAAACAACCCTCCCTCCCCACTCCCCCACCGGAATTGGCCCTCCTCCCCTTCCCCCACCCAAAACAGCCACCCTTAACCTAGAACCTAAAACATCGAAAACCTAGAAATCGAAAAAGGGGGGCGAGCTGAGATTTGGTGTTAAAGAGGGTTGGCGGCGGCCTGAAATTGAAAAAGAAGAAAGAGAAATTGAGGACACCCGATTTTGGCCTTAAACGAGAGAATAAGGAGGGACCATAGAACCCGAGACACTACGAAACCCACCTTGGAATTCAGCTCGTGAAGCAGCAACAACAAAGAGGGTGGAGGGGATCGGAATTAATGGAGAGTGAAGGGAAAAAGAAAGGAAGGAGAGAGGAAGGAAAGAGAAAGGGTTAGGGTTTAGAATTTTTGGGGATGAGGTTGGGTTTTTGAGGGTGGTTATAGGGTTTTTTTCTGGCGTGACTGAGGTGGAGGTAGCGATGGCAAGATGCAGTTCAGGGGGCAAGTGAATGTTAGGTTGGTGGACTGGTGTCCAAAGCTTGGGGCGCGGCCGCCGGCAGGGCAGGGGTGGCTGACGGGAGCAGCCAAAATAATGGAAAGGGAGGAAGAAGAGGCAGCTGGTTTTTCAACATTTTTTTTTTATTTTTTTTGGGTGGCTGACAGTTGGGGTGGCTGAGGAGGGAGGGGTGGCCGGAAGGTGACATTGAGGGTGGCTGGATCTCACTAACGGAAATAGTAACTGAATCCGTTAACTGGTAGCAAATTTTAACAAATGTACTTTTAGGTGGTAGTACAATAAAAAAAAAAATTTTAAGGGGTAGCAAAACTGAAACACATGTGTTTTGGTGGTAGCAAAAGTGAAAATTTCCTTTTTTTTTTTATTAGTTAAAAAAGAATCATGCATATAGTGAGTTAGACTGCACAATAGCAAGAAAAAAAGAAAAATGGCAAATAAGGAAACCAAGAAGGCATGAAGTAAAGTAACATGCATAAACCAATATTACAAGCTTGAATTTTTCGAATTTGGATCGAGAAATTTATTGTGTTTGATAATATATGTGGAATTGTATTGTACATTACTTTAATATCCAATTGTTCAATTTGGTGTTATACAATTTCATTTGTTTTATTAAGAAGGAAATTAACTTTTTCTTTTTCCTTGAGTACTACTAGTATAAATAATCATCTAGAAACACAAATACAAAAGTATAATAATTTGAATATTTCATGTTGTATTAGCATAAATGCATAATTAAACATTTATTAATTATTCTAAATAAAAGAACATTTAATAATAAATAAGTGAACATTTACAATGATGAAAATGAACATTTTATAGGTGATTCAGAATTGAAAAAATAACCAAGACGACGTCATTAGGAAGGATTGGGGGTGCAGGCAGCTCTGCCTACCCCGGGGTGTAGGCAAAATTTGTAAATTAAACTGGGTTGGTTTGGGCTTGTATTTTGGACACGTTTGGTTGAACTTGTTTTTACAATTTCAGGACATGTTGAAATTTCAGGACTCTTGTTGTAATTTGTGGAATTCGTTCTAACTTTATTTTACTTTATGTCCTTCCCTTTAATGATCGTCTTTTGTTATTGTAGTTAATTTTTTAGTTTTTTTCCTAAATGAAAGTATGCCTTTGTTACTAAATTTTTATTAAGTCCCAATCTTTTTATTAAAGACTACCGTCTTTTATTTATTTTTTTATAATTTTTTCCTAAATGAAATTATGACTTTGTTACTAATTTTTTATTAGGTTCAATCTTTTTATTAAAAACTACCACCTTTTATTTTTTATTATTTTTTTCTAAATGAAATTATGTCTTTGTTAATAATTTTTTATTAAGTTCAATCTTGTTATAAAGACTACCATCTTTTATTTGTTATTATTTTTTTCTAAATGAAATGTCTTTGTTACTAATTTTTTTATTAAGTCTAAATTAAAGACTACCATCTTTTATTTTTTATTTTTTTTTTCTAAATGATAATATGTCTTTGTTACTAATTTTTTTTTATTAAGTCCAATCTTTTTATCAAAGACTATCATCTTTTATTTATTATTATTTTTTTTCTAAATGAAATAATGTCTTTGTTACTAATTTTTAATTAAGTCCAATCTTTTGATTAAAGACTACCATCTTTGGATATTAAATTATAAGTGTAATATTTTTATTAAAGACTACCATCTTTTATTTATTTATTTTTTTTTCCAAATGAAATTATGTCTTTGTTACTGATTTTTTATTAAGTCCAATATTTTTATTAAAGACTACCATGCATCTTTGGAGTAAATTATAAGTGTAATATTTTTATTAAAGACTAACATATATATTTAGATAGTAAATTAAAGACTACCGTTTTGATAAAACATACGAACAGTAACGTAACCAGTGGATTTGATAATCTTAAAGAATAAAAACATAAGATAGCCTTTTTGTTTTTAATTTACATAAATACCTTTAACCTCATTTATTTATTTATTTATTTTTATTGGTACTTCACATTATAAACAAGCACAAATCCATGATATAATCCAGAAAAACACACAAAAAAAAGTATCCAACAAGGAAAATACATATAAAATAAACCAAGAAGAACAATTAAAACCCAGAAAAAACAGAAAAAATATAACCTTTAACAAAAGTAACAAGCATAATTCTATATAACAAATCCATATCCAACTGATGACATGCATACCATTAATTAACATCTCAAATACTTAGGTTTTAAACTAGTAACATGATGTAGCCATGTTACCATAATTATTACATACCCCTAATAAAAGTTCAGATACCAAATTAAGTGCTAATAAGAAGTTCAACATTAGGAGTTACAGACCGAATAGCTACCAAATTACTTAACACTACATACTTAAGAGAAACATCATAGTAAATATCCAGATTCTTCAAGGTCACCAACTTGTGCATCGTGCCTCATAAGCACCACCATCTGGACCACCCTCCTAAGCTTGAGCCGATGCTACATCACCTCCATCTGCACCACCCTTCGTAGCTTGAGCCGGTGCTGGCTATGGGTCTAGAAAAGCAAATAACTTAGCCAAAAGTAGTATATAGCAATAAAGAAATATAGAAAAACATGTATAATATGTCAAAATTACCTTCAAAGACCCAAGGAGCCTAAGGGAGTATTCGGGCGTGAGAGTCACAAGCAATTCGTCAGGCTTAACCGTCTTCTCATCCCAAATGACAGCTAACCCACCCATTAGACCAATAATACCATCCAAAATCTAATTAACTTCATAGTTAAAGGCTTTCATAGATTCCTCAAACGACATACGACCGACCCTAGCCTCCATAATTATGAAAATCATTGGTTTGCGGACAAAGACTATCTTCAGCACATTGGACTTGAAAGAAGGTCGAGTAGCAACATGAGCGTTCCACATAACCAAAGATGACCCTAAATCAAAGACACTTTCCCCAACTTCATACTTTGACTCTAAGGTTACGTCCATAAATCTAATAAAAGGATCCACACAAAACCTTCTACTAGTAGCCAAGACACTAATTCTCACTCACATAAGCATGCAAGTAAAAAACTTGAAAACCGTCCGCATAACAAGCAAACTTAGAGGAAATTTTTCTCAGTCTGGGTAGATAGCAACGTCAATTTTAGACATAGGATCAACAACTTTTTCAAGAAATATTGGGATAATCTCTCCAATATTATCTTTATTGTACCTCACTTTGCAAGCACTAAGTTTTGTAAACACTTTAACCAAATCAATTTGGGTAACACTATCAACTATTAGAGGGAGATGAGCTGGGAGTACATCGCCGGATTGGCCTATCATGACCATACCTTTTAATTTCTCCTCCCACGAGCTCTCCAGGCTACGAATAATATCCCTCGGATTCTGGTCGCTCACGATCTCGCGCCCTCCCATTTCTCTTTTTTGAGTGAAGTACATGACCTTGTTGAAATTCATCTCGGGTTTTCCATCTCTGTTTGGTTGGTGGAAGGTTATCTTATCAGGTTTTTCAACAGCATAGCAACCATTAGGGTGAATTGGGTTTTGAGGGTCAAAGGGCTTAGTAGCCATTGTTGTTGATTAAAAAGTTCAGTGTTTCTTGAATTTAAGGTGATGAAAAAAGGTAGAGGAGCTTAGGATTGTAGTTTCTCAAATGGTATGGTTTATATAAACCAACAGAGTCACTCAAAGGACATTTATCCATACTGGCACATGGCTAGTGAAGAGTTTTACCTAGTTCATTTACAACTTGTACAATTATGGGGTAACTAAGAAGCAAAACAAGTGTCACCAATATCAAAACAAAATATTATGCTTGTTTCCAATGAAATTTGACATTGTATTGTCATTGTCAAAAATAATTTTGAACTTTCAGAAATATATCTGTTTTATTTGCACTAACAAACGACACAAATACCTTTGGTTGATAAGTCAGTGTGTGGGATAAATGTTTAATTACATTTAAACATCATTGTTAACTTTGTTTTAAACATAATTATTAAATTTGTTTTAAAAAATAATCTCATTAATTTTGAGATATTAATGAGATTTACGTTCATTTTACTTGTGTAATCAAAAAGATATTCAACCTTTTTTTTTTTTTTTTTTTTTTTTTTTAAATAAAAACATATTTATGTCAAGTGTATTAAGCCTTACTGAAATACTAAAATATGTACCATAACATATTTAAATGCACTAATCTAGTTTACAACAAGCTTTTTAATTATAAACTATTAATTAATTCTCAATAATGCAATAATTTAGCAGATAAAGTGAGAGGGGGGGGGGGGGCAGTAAAAGACAAATGTGGCGGCGCGGCAATGAATATTAAATTCCATTGCATTGAATATTGTTGTACAATATTGTCTTGTAGTAAAAGAAAAATGGAAAATCCAAACCCTCCAAACCCTAAACCCTCCAAAACGCCAAACCCTGATGTATGATCATACTCATTAACTTATTTAACTCTAATAATGTAACACTTATTTATAATTATAATCCGCGTTATATTCTAAATTGTACATTTAATACTTGGCATTATTTCGTATAAATCATAATTTGCCACGATGGTACCGTTGATTTCTTTTATTTTGTATAAACCAAGTATTATTGATCGAAATTACATCTCCTAGTTGATCGAAGTGACCGAAGTAACGTTGTTAGATTTATTATTCCTTTATCTAGTTGATCGAAGTAACGTTGTTCCATGTATTGTTCTTCTATCTAGTTGATCGAAGTAACGTTGTTAGATTTATTGTTCCTCTATCTAGTTGATCGAAGTAACATTGTTCCATTTATTGTTCTTCTAGTTGATTTTATTGTTCCCCATAATTGATCGAAGCAACGTTGTTAGATTTATTGTTCTTCTATCTAGTTGATTGAAGTAACGTTGTTCCATTTATTGTTCTTCTAGTTGATTCTACTGTTCCTCCTATTTGATCAAAGTAACGTTGTTAGATTTATTGTTCCTCTATCTAGTTGATCGGAGTAACGTTGTTCCATGTATTGTTCTTCTATCTAGTTGATCGAAGTAAGGTTGTTAGATTTATTGTTCCTCTATCTAGTTGATCAAAGTAACGTTGTTCCATTTATTGTTCTTCTAGTTGATTCCATTGTTCCTCCTAGTTGATCGATGTAACGTTGTTAGATTTATTGTTCCTCTATCTAGTTGATCGATGTAACATTGTTCCATTTATTGTTCTTCTAGTTGATTCCTTCCTAGTTGATGGAAGTAATGTTCTTAGATTTATTGTCCTCTTTCTAATCTAGTTGATCGTAATAAACATTTAATAAAGTTTTAATTGGGAAAGAGATTTCATAATTAATAATTAATTAATTGTTTTATAATAAAATTTAATACTCGCGTACTTTTGTTTTTTACTTTGTTTTTGCATTCTTAGTTAATTAATGATATTAAGGAACTAAAATAAGGATTACTTTTTTCTTTCTCACTTTTTTTTTAACATTCTTGAAAAATTTGTTTGTTAAAAATTAGTTACTACTGATATTAAGTCATACTTTTTGGTGAAGGTTGTGCAATATTTTATGTCTCTTTTTAATAAATATTTCTTGTCAAATTAATAAAATTTTGTGTGACAACTTTATTTTTAACAAAGCCACCTACTTAATAATATTGCAACCTCAACCAAAATACACTGGACTTTCCTACCGGATACCACCGCACAATGGCTTCAAAAAATTCCAAAAACAAATCAATTTTATTTCAGCTTCATAACCTGCAACTTCAGTCATCAAACCGGCGAACTTGTTACTACCCGAAACACCCAATTATGTACTGTGCTCTAATTCGGAAAATGGGTCTCCTTAAGGCACCCCTTTTCGGGTGATGCGTAGTTTAATAACCCGAGAAGTAAGCCCGGCATACATGCCTTTAATTGAAGATGCTACTGCCTATTTGCATAAGGGTGCCGTAATGTTCATATGATGGAGGCTCACACTCCATTCTCGGCAATTTCAATCACGGTGCACGCCAATGTCACTTGTATAAGTGGTACGAGGTACTTCAGAGTGGGTATTAAGGCTAACATAGTTGATATCTTTGAAAATAATTTGAAATTTAACAAAGGGAGGGTTGTGGTTGTTTGGAACGCACGGAGTATCCACTGGCCGTCCTTCAACACTTTAAGCAGCTCCACGACAAGTACTCATCGATGCTAGTGATAATCACAAAGGCTAGGGGCAGCAGGCCAATTTTGGAATACACATACAAAGCAATATGGTGGGTCATTATCGGATTAAAGCAATTGGGCCTAGCTCCGGTCTCGGAGGGGTGCTATTGGTTTGGGGCAACAAGGTCGAACCGTACATCACAAGCCGACAAGATACCTTATACAGTTATCTTACTATGGCCACTAGTATCGTAAGTTATCCTTAATAAAATTAGTAAATTTTACTAATTATATCTAATATTTGATTTAATTGTGGGTTACTAACCAAATTCGGTTAGGGTATTTTGTTCTTTTGTTACAACATACAGTGGTGGTCCCATTAAGATAACTTTAACTTTATTTGGTCATTAATAATCATGTAGTCAGAAAATACTAATCTCTAATTATTTATTTAACTATGTATATAACAGAAAGTTAATTTGCTTAATGTATTGTGTATGTAGCCAAAATTCACATTGGACATGGTTCCTGAAATTGTTCCAGAAAGCAAGTACGTGTTCGAACCCTCAGAGAATGAGGAAGACCAAGACGAAAACGAATCTGATGGACAAAACGATTAATCAAATTAAATTATAGTGTTAAGATTAATATCAATTGCTATTGTGTTTAATTTATGTTATTGAATTTCTATCTTATTATGTTAGTAAATTTATATCAAGTTAGTAAATTTATATCATGTCATAATTGTGTTAACAAATTTAGTTAAGAAGTGACTACTCCATTGAACTATGCCATTATGACGTGCATGTTGCTGTTAGCTACAGTAGGCTTCATTAGCATTGTAGGTAGAGGTCTTTCATTAATAAGGGTCTTATCAGTGTTGTACTTTAAAGTACAATATTTTATCTTTGTATCAAAACTATCTTCATAAACATTGTAATTTTGTCCTATTCCATCAAGTTGAAATTTTTTTGAAAAAGGATCTAAATTAAATTTATTAGTAAGGAAAATAAAATTATTCAATTGAATGTTCCAATCTTAAGTATACATATAAATGAAGTTTATAATACTTAAAAAAAAAAAAAAAAAAAAATCAAATCGTCCAATGTCTCAAGAAAAAGAAAAAAAAATTAAAAAAATCTTATCATCGAATAATATGGTATCAAATTCGTGCATTTTCAATAAGCAATTCTATCAAATAATCTAAAAAAAACATATCATCAACTAATTGTACATAAATTCCTAAACATTAATCAAATTAATTTTGCGTGAACTTCACTTGTTACAAACTCCAGTTTTGTAAGGTATGTTTGAGTTCCACTAATTATAGCTGTTGATTAAACACAATTATAGCCGTTGATTGAAATTCACTTGTTACGAACTCCAGTTTTGTAGGGTATGTTTGAGTTCCATCAATTATAGTTATTGGTTGAACAAAATTATAGCCGTTGATTTAACACAATGTGACAATTGCATTACCAAGACTACAGATACGATTTTCAAATGAATGTGTGAGATATTTGAAAGTATGAGTGTGGTAAATGGATAGGGATTCACCATGGTAATTCATGGAGTAATCAAGGCCTAGGATAATATTTGGCCTAAGGGAGCTATGATTTTGTAATGTTGGAAAGGAGTATAGGTGAACATTTTTTGGACTCTTTTTCACCTTATTCTGAAAAACTTTTGGGCAGATCTGCAATTTGATTTTGTTTGCTTATACACTGTCAAAAGCAACCTCTGAGGAGAGTCATTTCTTTTGGTGTAGAAGGTTCTTTCTTTTCTTTTGTCCTTCTGGTAATAGCTTGGTTATTCATTGATCTAACACAAGCAACTAAATATAAAATATTTAGCTAAAGTTTTATGTTTGTCCACACTTGTATAATTTTTTATTAGTTAAATCTAATATCTGATATTTTGTAAAAAATTTCTTTGCATTTGTAATTATATTTTATAATTATAATTGTATAATTATAATTACAATTATAATTACTCCGAATAGATAAAATTTGACACGTTTTTTTAGGACTAATTATCCAAATTAAAATAATAATTTCAAATGTTTTAACTTCAAAACTTTTATGCTTTACCTTTAACAAATAAATATATTAAAAAATGTTACCCTTTTCCTTTTATACAATTGGTATAATTCTAGTATCACTTCCAACAAACATATAAGCTTTCCCTTTTTATGAAATAGTATACTATTTGGAAAAAAAAAGTATATAAAAATCATAACTAATATCACACCCACAAAGATTGTATTCCTGTCTAGAGATCCCTTTATATAAACAGACTTGAGAAATAACTTATTCACCTACAAATATCATCCAAACACAGATATCCAATCCAAATGAGTTCCTCCATCCCTTCAAATCTTAATCCCGTTGGTGGTCCGAGGCCTTCCAAAACCTATCCACCCCGTAGGAAGAGGAAGGCTATCGGCCGTCACAACCTTATGGAGCAGTATGCGGTTGGGATGAGTGTCGAAAGAAAAGGCCGCCTTGGAGTGAAGTCTCATTGATATGTTCCTTTGGTCATTAAAGATCCTTTAATTGACCTAACGAAACCAAAAGGAGTTACTACTCATGTACCCAAGGATGATGCTGCTACTAAAGAGACCTAGAAAGTTG